CTTGCTTTTAGTTGTCCGCAGGGTCAATTAAGCAGGAAACGGTTCCATGGTCTTTGAGTCTCTGCAGTTCCAGAAAAATCTGAGAAAATTTTTGTCACCTAACTACAGCGTAGTCAGCCAGTTTCCACGGCTGTTTATCTTTTCTGTTTACAGACGCAGGTGCATCAGGCTGATTACAACGTCCTGATCATGAGCCATCATTTGAGCTCCGCCATAAGATATCAAATCCCTCATCGACTTCTGTGTACAAGCTTCACAGGTATACTGATAAACGCTTCAATATTCGAACGTATTCATAGTAGTCAGACATTCATAGCTAACAGTTATAATGACAGCTCATATAATTGCAGTTACACTACTACTAAAATTACATTACTATTTCCCCGAAACGTGAAAAATAAATTTGGTTTTCTGTCACTGAGAAAATTAATTTCTGATAATATTCAGAATGATAATGGTTGAGGTGAATCTAGATTCTAAACAAAGAAAGTGAGTATTTAGGACGATATACTTTTGCCCAGCCATTATTTAACGAATTATTGCCGTTAAAATAGTAAGTGCACTAAAGGCCATGCGTGTCATAAGAACATTATAAACAGGAGACGACCTAAATACACAGAATCTTCTTTATCTTCCATGGCCACTTCTCCTTTCGGGTCGCGGAGGCAGATGCGTCAGACAGAGCTTCCAACATTTCCGATCTTGTACCAGATTCTGAGCTTCGACAGAAGACAACTGGAGTCGGGAACAGACTCCTTCCATATATTTGTACCCGGTTAATCTTGGCCGTCCCGTGGGCCATACACAAATTAAATTTATTTATTTTAATATTTTAACTAAACATAATGATATATTATGTAATCATTACTTTTAATCAAAGTAGCTAGGGAAAAAAAGCATTTTATGAAAGTAATTATTATCGACCTTTTCAACAAGACAATGGCTCAGTGCGTGAAATAGTCATTTTCATTATTCTAAAGCGTCAGACAAGCGATGATAAAGCATTTCACATGCTACC